AAGTGCCAGTAGTTGCTAATTTTTGGCATTGCTTCTGCGCCTTTTCAGAAAATATGTATTTTTGAAAAGAAAAAATATCAAGAGTTTATAATGATATTTCTAATTCGAATTTAATGTTCTTTGATTTTATACTTGCATGCGACTTTTACTTGGAAATCTTAAATTCCTAACTATAGCAGCATAATTACTTTTTTGCATTATCTTATGTCCAAATCCTAGTATTTCATTATTCACTTCAAATAATGAATTTCAAAATAATGAAGCCAATATTTCTACTAACACTTATACTTTTGATTGAAATCTGAGATTTCTTTGCAGCCGTTTTTGTCCTCTGAGTACATTCCATTCAGGACTTATAGACAAAATAATGCTTTTTAAAGTCACTTGGAATAATTGTTTTCTCTATGTGGTTATGTCAGCAACTTGATATACGGTGAAGTTTGTTTATTTTTAGATTTTTAGAGATGGCGCTTTTCATTTTTTGATTTAACTGAACTTTTTGAATATGTAAGACATGTTATGTTTGCAAAGTCAAATGCTTTAACAGGGAACATTCAGGGAAGCCTCATTTCCATCTCTGTCCCCTCCCTCTCCCTGCAGATAACCATTTTTATTAGCTTCTTGTTTATACTTCTGATGTTTCCTTTTGAAAATGTCAGGGACACGTAGATACCCCTGTCTTCCCCCATCCCTGTCTTATGTAGTTTGTCCTGGGGTCACTTCCTCTCAGTGTGTAGGGATCTCCCTCGTTTCTTTCATGCGTGTGGAATGCTCCATGGTGTGATGCACCACCGCTTGTGGAAGCAGTCCCCACAGATGGACATTTGGGCTATTTCCAATATTTTGCTGGTATAAATAAATAATGCTGTAAGGAATACTTGGTGCATAAGTCAGTTCATATTTTTGCCCATGTATCATTGGGATAGGGTCATAGAAGCTGGACTGCTGGGTCAAAGGTAGATGAGTGTGTAATTTTTCAAGAATTTATCACCAAATTCCCCTCCGTAGGGGTTGTATCATTTGCATCCCCATCAGCCTTGCCTTAGAGAACGTGGTCAGACTTACAGCATTTTTGTCTGCCTAATAGGTAAGAAGAAGTATTTCAGTGTAATTCTTTTTAAATAACAGCTTTATTAGATATAATTCACACACCATACAGTTCACCCATTTAAGGTACACAATTCAGTTGTTTCTAGCATATTCATAGGTCTGTGCAACCAACGTCATAGCCAATTTTATAATATTTTCACCACCTCAAAAATAAGCCCTGTACCCTTCAGCTCACCCCAACCCCTACTCAGCTGCCCCACCCTAAGCAACAACAAATATACGTTTTGGGGGGGGTGAGGGGGGAGATTACCCTGAGCTAACATCTGCCGCCGATCCTCCTCTTTTTGCTGAGGAAGACTGGCCCTGAGCTAACATCCATGCCCATCTTCCTCTTCTTTATATGTGGGATGCCTACCACAGCATGGCGTGCCAAGCGGTGCCATGTCTGCACCCGGGATCCAAACTGGCGAACCCAGGGCTGCCGAAGCAGAACATGTGCACTTAACCGCTGCACCACTGGGCCATCCCCCAAATATACTTTCTGATTATAGATTTGTCTATTCTAGACGTTTCATATAAACGGAACCATATAATATGTAGTCTTTTGTGCCTGGCTTCTTTCACTTCATGTAATGTTTTCAAGGTTCATCCATGTCGTACTGTGTATCAGCACTTCTTTTCTTTTTTTTTTTATTATTGTGGTTAAATACACATAATGTAAAATTTACCATCTTAACCATTTTTAAGTGTACATTTCAGTGGTATTAAATACATTCATAATGTTGTGCAACCACCACCATCCATCTCCATGGCTCTTTTCATCTTGTAAAACTCAAACTGTATGCCCATTAAACAATAATTGCCCCATTCTGCCCTGTTCCCTGGCAGCCACCATCCTACCTTCTGTCTCTGATTTTGACTACTCTAAGTGCCTCATATAAGTGGGATCATACAGTGTTCGTCTTTTTGTGACTGGCTTATTTCATTTAGCATAAGGTCCTCAGGTTTCATCCATGTTGTAGCATATGTCAAAATGTCCTTCGTTTTTAAGGCTGAAAAATATTCAGTTGTGTGTGTGTGTCTATATATATATACACCACATATTGCTTATCCATTCATTTGTTGATGGACACTTGGGTTGCTTCCATATTTTAGCTGCTGTGAATAATGCTGCTATGATCATAAATATACAAAAATCTCTTCAACACTCTGCCTTCACTTTTTGGGGGTATATACCCATAAGTGAAATTGCTGGATCATATGGTAATTCTCTTTTTAATTTTTTGAGGAACCACCATACTGTTTTCCACAGTGACTATACAATTTTACATTCCCACCATCAGTGTACAAGAGTTCCAGTTTTTCCACATCTCTGTCAACACTTGTTAGTTCCTGTTTTTTTTTTTTAAATAATAGTCATCCTAATAGGGGTGGGATGGTATCTCATGGTGGTTTCGATTTGCAGTTCCCTGATGATCAGTGATGTTGAGCATCTTTCCATGTGCTTGTTGGCCATTTGTAAATCTTCTTTGGAGAAATGTCTGTTCAAGTCCTTTGCCCATTTTTGAATCAGGTTGTTTGTTTTTTTGTTGTTGAGTTTTAGGAGTTCTCTCTATATTCTGGATATTAATCCCTTATGAGATATGTGATTTGCAAATATTTTCTCCCATTCTGTCGGTTGCCTTTTAACTCTGTTGATAGTGTTGTTTGATGCATAAGTTTACAAATTTTTATTAAGTCCAATTCGTCTATTTTTTCTTTTGTTGCCTGAGGCTTTGGTGTCGTATCCAAGAAGTCATTGCCAAATCCAATGTGAAGCTTTTGTCCTATGTTTTCTTCTATGGGTTTTATATTTTAGATCTTACATTTAGGTCTTTGATCCATTTTGAGTCAATTTTTATATATGGAGTTAGATAAGGGTCCATCTTCATTCTTTTGCACGTGGATATCTAGTTTTCCTGGCAACATTTGTTGAAAAGACTGTCCTTTTCCCACTGAGTAGTCTTGGCACCTGTCTCAAGTACTATTTGACCATATATGTGAGGGTTTATTTCTTGGTTCTCTATTCTATTTATGCCAGTACCACACCGTTTTGATTACTGTTGTTTTGTAGTAAGTTTTGAAATCAGGAATTCCTCCAACTTTGTTCTTTTTCAAGATGGTTTTGGCTATTTGGAGTCTCTTGAAATTCCATATGAATTTTAAGATGGGGCTTTTCTATTTCTGCGAAAAATGTCATTGGGGTTTTGATAGGGATTGCACTGACTCTGAAGATCACTTTGGGCAATATGGACATCTTAACAATATTAAGTCTTCCAATTCATGAACATGGGATAGTTTGCATTTATTTATGTCTTCTTTAATTTCTTTCAGCAATGTTTTATAGTTTTCGTTGTAAAAGTCTTTCACCTCCTTGGTTAAGTTATTCCTATTTTGTTCTTTTTGATACTATTGTAAATGGAATTGTTTTTATAATTTCCTTTTCAAATTGTTCATCATTATTATATAGAGACACAGCTTATTTTAGTCAGGGCTGGCCCTGTGGCCGAGTGGTTAAGTTCACGTGCTCCACATCAGTGGCCCAGGGTTTCGCCAGTTCGGATCCTGGGCACAGACGTAGCACCACTCATCAAGCCATGTTCAGGTGGCGTCCCACATAGCAGAACTAGAAGGACCTACAACTAGAATATATACAACTGTGTACTGGGGGGCTTTGGGGAGAAGAAGAACAAAAGAAAGATTGGCAACTGGGCCAATCTTACAAAAAAAAAAAAAAAGCAGACGTGCAACTGGTTTTTGTATGTTGACTTTTATCCTGCTAATTTGCTGAATTCATTTATTAGTTCTAACAGTTTTTTGCAGGATATTTAGCATTTTCTACATATGTGGTCATAACATCTGCAAATAGAAGTAATTTTACTTCTTTCCAATTTGGAGGCCTTTTATTTTTTTTTCTTGCCTACCTGCTCTGACTAGAAATTCCAGTACTTTTTTGAATAGAAGTAGTAAAAGCAGACATCCCTGCCTCATCCCTAATCTTAGAGAAAAAACTTTCAGTCTTTCACCATTGAGTATGATGTTCACTGTGGGTATTTCATATATGGCTTTTATTATGTTGAGGTAGTTTCCTTCTAGTCTTAGTTTGTTGAGTGGTTTTCTCCTGAAAGAGTGCTGAATTTTGTCAAATGGTTTTTCTGCATCAGTTGAGATGATCACATGGTTTTTTCCCTTCATTCTTTTAATGCAGTGTATTCCATTAGTCTAGTTTCATATAGTGAACCATCCTTGCATTCCAGGAATAACTCCACTTGGTCATGGTGTTTAATCCTTTTAATATGCTGCTGAATTCGGTTTGCTAGTATTTTGTTGAGGATTTTTGCATCAATGTTTATTAAGGAATATTGGACTAGTTTTCTGGTAGTATCTGTCTGGCTTTGATAATGGTATAATTTTAATGGCACCTCTCTTATTATGAGTGTGGTTGAATATCTTTTTATTTGTTTATGGGCCATTATAATTTTTAATTCTGTGAGTATTTGTTCATCTCTTTTGCCCTAGGAAGCTTTTCAAAACTGCGTACTTCCTAGGCCCACCAGAACTACTGATGAGAATCTTGGGGCTGCTCCCCAGGGGATCCTCATACACCAGCCTGGTGGAGGACTTGGGGTTGGGAGCCATGTTTTAGTGTTCTGAGCCAGGAGTTCCTCAAAAGCCAGGTCCTTGGGCCTGCATGTCATGGCCTGTCTGGTGCTGTCACGTCAGTTACTGTGCTGTACTGTTTCCTTCTCTCAGACATGGTGGCTTTAGCCTGGGGTCTAGTCACTAGGTGATCAGTGACGTCCACTCCATTATCATACCCTGTGCTTGACCGGATGCCCAGGTCCCAGTGACTGCATTTAGCCCTTGCCCAGAGGCTCCTGTCCTCAGTGTCACTGATTTGCGCTTTCCAGGCCTCCCGCCACATCCAGAGCACATCCCCAGCCCAGTCAGCCCTGCCCAGGAGGAGCCAACAGAAACGCAGGTTCCCGACCACCAGCAAGACTCAGAAACCAGAGTAATTCCACCTGAAACAAGTACCGGTGAGTGCGGGCAGCCGGGCAGCAGTGTGACTGGTGCCCCAGCAGCAGTACCAGACAAGCGGTGCTGAGAACAAGTGCTGAAGCTCGAGGGTGGGAGAGATGGCTGGGGACGGGGCTGAGCCGAGCCCGACAGGCTTCCTGGAAAAGGGGCCCCTGCAACAGGCCGTAGAGGAAGGGTAGATTTTGCTGGGATCAGAGGGTGTTTTCAGCAGGAGAAGATGGTCTGAGCAGAGCTGTGGCTCCTGCAGGTGTGGTGGGGGCCGAGCACTGCAGTCTGGCTGGAGCAAGGGAGGGGCCCTCGAGGGCGAGTGTGGGGCCTCCTCAGGCTTCTTACGATGGTTACGTTAATGGGGCGATGTGTGTCCTGTCCCTAGTGTGGTGCCCCATGTGTGTTCCTCAGTACTGTCCTCTGTCTGAAGGCCTGTGAGGGGCTCTGAGGCTTCAGGCAGCCCCTCCAGCGCTCTCTGTCTGCTTCTGTTTGAAGGAGATTCCTGTCCATCCTTTCACAGAATCAGAGTGTCATTCACAGGGCATTTGGCAGACAGTCCAGAGCCTTGTTTTCTGTCTCCAGACTGTGCTTTGCTGGCTCACCGCCGCCCCCCCCCCCCCCCCACATCCCCACCACCCCGCCTGCTGGCCTGACCTTTCAGTCTCGGGGTTGCTTTCTCTCCAGTTGTTTCTGTGCATCTCCCTCACTGAACATGGGCTCCCTGAGGTTGGAGGTGACACTCCCTCCCTTCCCTGTGTCCCTCCTTCCCAGTCAGTGTTTGAGGAGAGGGCGCCTCCCCAAACCCTCTGTCGGTTTGAGGCCCATCAGGGTGACATTCAGATGAGGGATGAGTTGTTAGCACTGGCCTGCATGGGAATTGGGGGCGTGGACTTCACAGCTTCCTCCACCCTCTGAAGCGGAGGCTGCAGAGTGAGCACCTGCAGTCCTCTGGACCCAACCCTGGGGCCCCCTCTTCCTGTTCCTGGCAGGCGGTCGAGCGAATCGAGGGCCGGCTAGGGGATGGCTGTGTCACCCTGCAGGAGCCTGGTGTTGGGAAAGGCCCTCACGGGATTCTCTCTCACAGGGCCCCCAGCCTGCACCAGCATTTTGTCCTCGGTTAAACAGGAGGAAGAATCTTCCGATGGGGAGTCGTCAGCCTCCCCTCCCAGGGACATCCTACCCAGCATGGGGCCAGGTGAGTGAAGGGAGGAGGCCCCGTGGTCACAGCAGAACCTCAGAGGAGCTCAGGGGCCCTTTGGGAGTGGGGTGGGGGTTGGCGTGAGGGACCTGGTGAGGGGTTTCCTCCTGAGGGGTCCCTCCCTCACCCCTCAAGCTGTATTTCCCTTGGGGCTCTGGGGACCCAGATCATCTATGGTCCTGGTCATCCCCCTATGGCGGTCTGTCCTGGCTGGAAAGGTGCTGCTTGAGAACAAGTGGCACACTGCCAGGTTTGTGGTCTGGTGGCACAAAGGCCTCACGGCAACCCTGTGAAGTACCATGCTCACAGCCTCACATCTTACGGTTTGTGTGTGGTGGCCTGCGATTTAAATTTAGTTCCCCCTCTTAGAGTCTGTGCATTTTCTGTAAAGTGGGCTTATCCCCTGATGAGCAGGAGAAAGAAAGTGATTCTTGCCCATTCTGGCCTTGGGGCAGGTTTTCTGTCCCAGTAGAAAGGGGTCCAGCTCTCCTGGTTCCATCCTGGTTCCTGCTTTGGTGGGAGGCAAAGGTGAGATCTGGGTCCCCCCGGGGTTGTGGCGTGGCGGGAGACCCAGCTGCACATGGGCTTCAGACGAAGAGGTCGGGAGCCCTGGCCTTCACAGAGAACAGGCCTGAGACCCCCATGAATCCCCAAGTGCAGGGATACCACGGGGGCCCAGTACACGCACCAGTGTACCCCAAAGTTTAGATGATTCGTATAGACTCTTAATGATCCTGTAGCTGAAGGACTGACTTAGAAACAGTGGTCATTTCTAACATAGAAATCACTTCCTGTCCTGAATTATTTGTGGGGTTCCTGGGCGAGCTGCAGTGAGCGGGAACCCCCAGGTCTTGCCGTTGGGTGCTGCCCTGGAGGTTCACCCGGTAGGGCTCTCCTCCTCCGCAGCCTCCCAGCTCGTGGCTTAAGTTCAGGCTTCAGCAAGATTAGAAATTACTCTGGTCCTAGACCTTGGAAGTTGCTCGTAAAGGGCTGAGGGCTTTCGTTTTAATATGCAGAGGGCAAGGTTCGCTGTTGGCCTGTGAGCCGCCTGTGTGGTCTAGCTGCTGAGGCTGCCGGCCGCTGGGGGAGGTCCGAGGAGAGCGTGGCTGGGGGCTGGCTCCAGAGCAAACCAGGGGTGAACAGCAGCTGGAGGATTTAGAAGAAAGCACAGTGTTCCAGGCTGGGCTTGCTGGCCAGGACCTGCCTTCCCAGTGTTGGGGACCCCTGGGAGCTGCTGTGAGCCCACCGGTCGCTGCCTCAGCCCTTCCTTGCCACTGCTCTGTCCCAGCAGCTCCTTTGCCTCATGCTCCCTCAGAGTCAAGCGTGTCTCACACTGAGGCCCAGCTGGGAAGCCCAGGTCCTCGTGGCTCCTCTGTTGCTCGAGAGCACGGTGCTGGGCAGGTGGTGGACGCTCCGTGTGGATTTGTTCGTGGATGAGTAGCTCTGAGTGTGCTAAGCCACCCACCACCTCCAGCCCTGAGGTGAGGCCTCTTACCTGGTCTGGAGGTGGTCAGGGCCCACAGGGCTCGTGGTCATTCATAGATCAGAACTACAGTTGTCAGAACTCTTGAGGGTCCTGCAAAGCCAGTGTATCTCTGGCTCCAGGGGCTCTGCCTCTCTTTGTCTCCCCTTCATTTTCCCACTCATCTGTCTCCCACAGGTCTGGGCCCTGACCTCTGACCCCCTGGTTCCTGGTTTTGTAGCTTTGTCTCCTCTCTCCTGATGTCCTTAGCTTGGCCTGCAGGAATGGGCCTCATGGCAACAAACAGACCAGCTGACGTTAGGAGGCAGTGCCTGCTTGGTGGGGCTGAGTGAGCTGGACTCCTGCTCCGTGCTGTGAGCACCAGGAGGGGAAAAACATTCAGTGAAGGCAGGAGCAGGTGGTGCTGCCCTGGAGGCCAGGGCTGGGTTGAGTGGCCCAGGTGGGCTGGGGCAGCCCACTTGAAATCAACGGAGATTGCTTTCCCCAGGTGGTGGTGTGGTCATCAAGACAGAAGCACAATCTGAGGACGAGATGATGCCTGAGCAGCTCTTTCTGGGGAAGTCCCCCAGCCAGACCCAGTGTAGACTCCCCAAAGGACCCAGGAGCGGGACTGGGGGCCCCGGCGGGCTTCATGCCGGGGGCGTGCCAAGGGTGCGGGCAGGGGCCCCTCGGCCGCCAGGGGGCCTGGGAGAGCCGCCCCGCATCCTCCCTCGCAGGCGAGAGCGGACCTTCCCGTGCCCCGACTGCGGGCAGAGCTTCCGCCTGAAGATTAACCTGACCATTCACCAGCGGACCCACGTGGAGGAGGAGCACAGGGAGGCCCGGGGCAGCTCGCCCCCCGCGTGGGGGGAAGCCCACTCCACGCTGGAGCCGGGGGAGGTGGTGGTGCCCGGCCCTGTCATCCGCTGGCTGCCCGAGGAGCCTGAGGGCCACCGCTCCCTCTCAGGCCGTTCCTTCGTGGGGCGGAGGCCGGCTGCCACCAAGGTGTACCACTGCAGCGAGTGCCTGCGCTTCTTCCCACAGCGCAAGAGCCTGCTGCTGCACCAGCGCCTGCACACGGGCAATGGGCAGGGCTGGCCCGCCTGTCCCTACTGCGGCAAGGCCTTCCGCCGGCCCTCCGACCTCTTCCGTCACCAGCGCATCCACACCGGCGAGCGGCCCTACCAGTGCCCCCAGTGCGGCCGGGCCTTCAACCGGAACCACCACCTGGCGGTCCACATGCAGACTCACGCCCGAGGCCAGGCGGGCCCGCACTTTGCTGCTCCCCCCGGGCGCCCGGGGAGCCCACCCCTGCGCCGGCCCAGCCGCATCGAGGAGGGCTGACCAGGCAGGGGCCTGCAGGGGCACCCCGGGCAGGACCTCTTCTCCACCTGCGGGGCCTTTCCCCCTTGTGCCTGGCGCTGCTTCCTCTTTCTGGGATGGCTTTGAACAGAGTTTTCTTTTCTTTGAAATGAGAAGCAGCAGAGTGACAGAGTGTATGTGTGACCAGATGCCTCAATTTCCTCTTTCCTAAGTTTGTCCCTCTTTGCTGCCTTTTCTACATTCCTGACTTATAAAGGATCCCTAAGGCTTAGGGGATGCCAGGTTTTGGTGGGGGTCTTGGCAGGTACCACGGACAATTGAGCAGACCAGAGACTGTGGCCCTTCCAGTGGGGGCGAGAGAGACATTGAGGGCCTGGGGTTTCGATTTTGTACAGAGTTCTTGTGCCTGCTGTCAACAGCGAAACAGCAGAGTGGACACACAGCCTGAGGAATAGGCACTGGAAATTTGAGTTTTCTATTTTATTTTGCAGCTTTTTTTTTCTCCTTATGGAGCTTTTCTAGTGCTTTTGTTTTAAGTGTTGTGTGTGATTGCAAAGGGGACCAAGAGCTCCTGAGGGACAGGAATTACTCTGCCATCTCCTTGTGTGTGGGAGTGCAGAGGGGCTGTCCAGACCAGCCTGGGTGTGGATGGGGATGCCGCGGCTGCTGCCCTGGAAACCAGGTGTCTTCCCAGGTGTGCGTTCCTTGGTCCAGACTGGTTCCCAGTATTCCTAGTCCTACCCCCAGCAGGTATTCACATCCATGATTGATGCTGGTTATCAGCTGAGATGGGGAACCTGAAGCCTGGAGTGGATGACACTTCCCCCAAGGACTCAGTGTTCACAGGAGTGCGTGTTCCGTGGATGACCCCATACAACACCTCGAGGAGGGGATGCAGAGCAAGCCCAGGAAGCTCCTCCTGAGAGGAAGATCCTGGTCTGGGTGAGGCTGGTCAGCTAACCTGGACTCTGGGGCTGCCGGGCCTGATTTGTACAAAGGAGGGGCTGCCTCTGAGAACATGGGGCTCTGTGGCAGAGTTAGGGCAGATCTGAGTGACTCTTCACCACCTCCAGCAAATGGGGTGATGACCCCAATGCTTCATCTCTCACCTTAGGGTTCTCAGGGTCCTAATAGATCTGGAGGCAACTGGACAAATAGGGAGCCTGGTTTTGTCCTTCCTTTCAAGTTCAGGAACCCCTTTCTCTTCCATGCAGATCTTCGGTCCTTTTTCCCCCAGTCAGAATCCCTCAGGAAGGACCTTTGTTTTCTAGAGTGGGTGGAGGGTGCAGAGTGAGGTCACTTTCCCTTGGGGCTGCATGTCCCAGGAGCCCTCCGTATTTCACGGAACAAATTCTTACCAAAGCAATGAGATTCAAAGCATGTAAGTTCAGACAATAGTTCCAGGCTTCCTGGAGAAGTCTAGAGGGCAGCCAGCTCCTTGTGCCTATTAAGTCACACCACTTTGGGTGCTGCCTAGAGACCAGCCCTTGGTGTGGGTGATTTTGAAGCTGGAGTGATGGGTGATTCTGATTCTTGTCTTATTTGTCTGGCACCACGTGGACAGCGTTCAGGCCTCTCCCAGGTGCCTGGGTCCCTGGCTGTGCCACATCCTGTTGCCGCCTCTGACCCTCACTCCTCTCCCAAAGTCATGAACAGAGTTGGGGGCAGATGGGAACACTGCCATCATCTCTGGGGCCAGAGTGTGTACAAGTCAGTGACAGCTCAGCCAAGTCGCCCTGGGCTTGGGAGGAAGAGCTGCCACCTGTCCCTGCTGTGGATTCTGCTTGTTTGCTCTGGCACCCCCAGCCCTCGCCAGGGGCCCCACAAGTCACGGCTGGGCTGTCACCAAGTGCTCAGACAGGATATGGTGCAAGTGTAGCTGCTCAGAGGTTAACCCTCAGCTGCCAGAGCTAGTCTCAGGTGTTTCCTGGGGATGCCTCGCTAAGAGTTCCTAGGCCTGTATTTCTAATGCTAAATGCCCTGTGTAAATACAGGTACTCTTAACAGAAGCGCAAACCACGAGTAATCGCGAGGCACTGGCTCCCATCTTTTCTTCTTCCAAAGTATTCGATGTGCCTAGGCTCCCAGCTAGGCTGTGCGGGTTTGCCTGGCACTCAACAACTGAAATGAGTCAGCGGAGGCTGCGTGGTGCAGGAACAGAGCTGTGCTCCGCGCCCGCGAGGCTGGAGCCTGATTTGGCCTTAGACTCACTCCCAGCCCTGGGTGTCAGCTTCCTCATTTGTAAAATAAAGGTGGAGTCCTGGTGTTGAAGGCCCTTAAGCACTATGACGGCAGTGGTCCCTTGCCCCCATCGGTGCTCAATAAATGTTGGACTCAATGAGTGCGTGCACGTGATCTGGTTCCTGATCTCCAGTAGACTAGCCCAGGGCACGACGCGTTCCCGCGCGCAGGCTCACGCCCGCCCGGCGCCCAGAAAGCTGGGGCAGGGGTGGGGGCGGAGCTTCCCGGTATAGCCAATGGGAGTCCTGGGTGCTGGCTGCGCGCGCGCGCGGGCGGGGCGGAGCTTCCCTGCATGGCCAATGAGGAGCTGGCTCTGGTCTACGGGGCGGGGCCCAGCTTGCTGCTTGGCGCCGCTTGGCGCCGTTTGCCGCAGCTCCCGCGCGGTCGCCTGCAGCGTCCAACGCTGCCGCCGAGAGCGGGGCAGAGGCTGCGGAGAGGCCCGGGGCCGGCCTGCGTGCGGCCGCGTGGTGGCGACTCCGGCCAGGACGAACAGCGCAGGGCCATCGCCGAGGCAGCCCCGGCTCCAGTGAGGGCGGTCCTCAAGGAGGACGTCCTGCCTCCGCCCCTGCCCCCTCTTGGAATTGGGGAGGCTCAGCCTGGGTAGAGGGACGAGGACAGGGGCACTTGAGGCCGACGGGCCCGAGGGGAGCTGCCTGAGTTCACACGATAAAGTCCCCTCCCCTTTCTTGGCCCTGGATTGCTCCTCTATGGACTTAACCACAAAATTTCCGAGGTTCCCGCCAGCCCGGACTTTTGGTGGACCCAGCTGTGTGGGTCGGGGTGTATGGAGGATGGACTGTGAACCTCCTTACTCCAGGACGCTCCAGGGCTCCTGTCCTGTCCTTCAGCCCACACCCAACCCCCAAACTGACCGTCTTAGGGAGACCATCACCACATTGTCATCCCCTTTTCCTAGGTGAGACCAGTGCTGTTGTCTGGGAGGTTATTTTCACTCCAGCCTAGGCCCTCAGCTTCCTCCTGTGGCGCAGTCTGGCCTCTGGCTGTGAGGGTCCCACAAAGCCCTTCTGGATCTGAACTCTGATTCCAATTAGGATGCATTCTGGTGCCTGCTTGCTCTTTTCTGAAATTCCCTAGGAATTGCAGAAGGAATTTCTCCAAGTTCTCCAGCTGCCTCTGCAGTGGCCGTCTGCCTCCAGCAGGGTCCCCAGCACCGCCCACTTGCTCTCCAGCTAGTTCCCCAACTGCAAGGTCATAGACTCGCAGTCCCTGTCTACCTCTCCAAGTTCTGAAATCAGACAGCCTGGGACTCCTTCTTCTTGTCCACTGCCTGAACGGCAGCCAAGATGGCCCGAAGGAGATCTCTGCAGACTGGATGGGGGCCTCTCTTTGGAGGTCAGTTCCCATATACCATTTCTGTGACTAGACACAAAGAGGTGAGTCAGCCACCAGGAGAGGGGCCCAGAGTCCTTCTGAGATACAGGAAGGTCAAGATCCTCTGGAATAGGGGGAAACTTCTTCCAGGTGCCAGAAGGCCTCACTCGTCAGATCCCCAAACAGACAGTAGACGTTGGACCCCAGAGAGCGCCCATGGGAAGAATCCTGAACTAAGACCCAATGGAAAATGGACTAGCAAAGCATTACCATCATAAATGGACAGAGAGTGTAATGGATTTGAATCCCAGCTCTACCATATAATAGTCATATTAGCTTACCTAATTACTTAACCAACCACTTCTTCTTCATTCAGGAACACAGCCCAGCAGGAGACAGGAAATGAGTGAGAAACTCGGGTCCAGAAAACTTCCCAGGGCCCCAGTGCATACCCAGACTGCTATTTCAGTCTCCAGTGTTCTAGAGCAAACCCACCCTGATTACTGGGCTGAGGTGACTAAGGCCCTGTTGTTCTGGCCTTGGTGATCTCTTAGGCCCTTCCACCCTGACATTCACTGGGGTGTGACCTTCTGAACTGCCTGAGATATCGGTCCTGTGATGCAGGTGCCTTGCCGACCAGCCCCAGGGTGGCATCCACACCAGGACGCCAGGTTTGAGCTGCCAGGAAATGGAGCCAGAGAAAGTTGAAAGCCAGAACTTAAGAGTAGTCAGAACAAGGAAATATTTCAAAGAATATCCTGCCATGGGAGGTGGAAAATGTAACATGCATTACTAGAAGTAATACAATAAGAAATTCACGATTGCCTCAGTGGGAACAGCTGCAGTATAATGGAAACCCTCCTGGAAATGGAACTCTACTAGAACTTGACTCAATGCCTATCCTGCCATTTGAATCCTGTGCACGGTGGGGTTGCTGTGAGTATGACATGCACTGAAGGTATGGAAAAGCACTCAGGCTGTGTTATATTGGCACATATTCTATTAGTGAAACAAATATAAAGACCGTGGACCAATAATCAGGAAGTGTTATGAATCAAAGACTGTGATTATCCAACTCTGTGCAACTGAGGTCCCCCAACACCTCCTCCAAAAAAGCACTTAGCAAAGTATCCCACACATACTAGGTACTGGTCATCAGACACCTGTCCCTTCCTTTCTTCTCTCACAGCATACCTGTTCCATCTCCAAGTCTGGCCTCCGACCAGTTCAAGGTGTAACCTGGAGGAGGCAGATCCAGTCTTCACAGATGAGGGATGAACATCTTATCTCTTTGCAATGCTCTGTCACAAATCTAGCATCCAGGAATGTATCTAAAACCATTTCAGTGCTGTTTCTACTAGATGTCTCTCCTACTCTCAGAGACGTAGGAAAATCTCAACAGTTCTTGTCACCCAGGCCAGGGACGGACTAGGTCATCCTAAACCTGAAACACACCTGACCAGAAGTCCTCTCTAATGCAGACCCCTCCCAGCAGCAGCTGCTGTGAAACAGGAACTTCTGGGTCCTGCGGCTGCCCCGGGGCAGCAAGGGGGAGGCCCCTGAGGTACAGGAACTGGATGTGGGTG